TAATCCTCACCTGAGGATATTTTTTCCACTTTGTCTGACTTTCAAACAAAGTGGAAGGGGAAAGAGAGACATCAACCTGAGAGAAACACATTGATTTATTGCTTACACCCAGGCCCCAACTCGGACCGGGTATCGAACCCGCAACCTAAGTACATGTCCCCTTGACTGAAAAATAGAACCCATGACATAGGGCCTCAGCTGATGCTCTAATCATTGCACACACTGGGTAGGGCAGCAACTCATTTCTTTTATTTTTATTGACTGGATATAATTGACACATTACATTGTGTAAGATATTTTTTAAATTTTTAAATCTTTTTTTATCTTCGTTTTTTGTGTAAGTTTAAGGTGTACAATGTGTTGCTTTGATACACTTATACATTGCAGTACGATTGCCACTGTAATGTTAGCTTACACTGCCATCACCTTACATAATTACCATTTTTTGGTGGCAGGCACATTTCATATCTACTCTTTTAAAAACTTCCAAATACATAATATATTGTTAATTATAATTACTATGCTGTTCATTAAATCCTCAGGACTAAGGGGAAGTTTGTATCCTTTGACCAACATCTTGCCATTTCCCTCACCCTCAGCCCCTGGTAACCCCCATTCGACGCTTTGTTTCTATGAGCTGAGCAAACTGGCCAGCGGCCAAAAATTGTTTTAATTTTGTGCCCCAGAGACTTTTGCCCTCTAGCGCAATGTCCGTAGTTTTACATATGTCAGTTTGGCAGTTTCTTACAAAACAAAACAAAAAGTATAAAATCCAACCACCACATTCTTTGGTATTTACCAAAATGAGTTGAAAATGTAAGTGCGTTCAGAATTCTGATTACAGATGTTTATAGCAGCCACAGACAATGGAATATTATTCAGCACTCAAAAGAAATGACCTATCAAGCAATGTAAAGGCAAAATCATAAATGCCTATTATTAAGTGAAAAAAGCCAATATCAAAAGCCAATATTCCGACTATATGACATTCTAGAAAGGCAAAACTAAGAATACAGTATGTGTGACTGGCATGGCTCAGTGGTTGAGCATTGACCTATGAACCTGGAGGTCACAGTTTGATTCCCAGTTGGGGCACATGCCCAGGTTGTGAGCTTGACCCACAGTGTGGGGTGTGCAGGAGGCAGACGATCAATGACTCTATGTTTCTCTCTCCCTTCCTTTCTGAAATCAAAAAAAATATTTTGAAAAATAATAATCACTGGTTGCCAGGAGTTCTGGGGAAGGGACAGATGTATCAGAACCAAGAGGCTTTTTAGAGCAGCCAAACTAGTCTATGTGATTCTAAATGGTGGCTATGTCATTATACATTTGTAAAAACCCACAGAATGCACAACACCAATAGTGAACACAATAATCCAATTCTGCACTTTGGGTGCTAATACTCGAATATGTTAACTCATTGTAACAAATGCAGCATTCTGGTGCAGGAGGTTGACATGGGGGAGTTTTGCATGAAAAGGACAAATAGGAGGCTTAGGGGATTTCTAAATACTTTGCACTCCATGTTGCTGTAAATCTAAAATTGTTCTAAAATACAGTCAAATCTATAGTTACACACACATACACAATTTAGCAGAAAACAATCATTAGAGACATTTCTTGTAACCTTGGGTTAGGCAAAGAATTCTTAGACTTGTAACCAAACCAGGAAAGAATTAAAGTAAAATGATAAATTAGACTTGTATCAAATTTTCCACATCAAAAGACATTATAAACCAAAAAAATAAAAATAAAACTCAGCCACAGGTGAAGAGAATATATTTGCAAGTCATAATCTGATACAGGAGTTCTATACAGAATATATAAATAACTTCAAAAATAATTTAAGAAAACAAACAACCCATTCAGAAAACGAGGACAGACTTGAATACACAGTAAAGAAAACAAATGACTGTCTATAAGCACGTGAAAAAATTATCCTATGCAGACATAGGAGACCGGGAAAGATGTGGGTCCAGAACAAGGTCCGACATGCAGGGAAAACATGGTGAGCACCACTGTCTCATAAAGAAGGGCAGAAGTAGATGACAGAATCACATGGGCAGTGGGTCCTTAGCTTGAAAAAAGAGGTGAGCACTTGCCAATGAGAGCAGGATCCTGTAGGTCTCCTTATCACTTTTGAATATTATGTCCCAGAATTCACGTCCAGGTGTCCCCTTGCCTGTAAGGTGTCAGTGCCAGCTACAAGCATCACTTGCAGAGTGGAACTAAGGCATGAAATTCATCACAGTGGATGGGATTAGAGCCTGACACCCAATGTGGGTGAAACAGCAGACTCAACTCAAATTACCGAGGTCTCCTGTGGGTCAAACTCTGTGCTGGGATCAAAGGAGAGGCAAACTGCAGCTCACTCTGAAAGAAGGTTCCGCTGGAGAAACCACTGGAGCTGAGAGATGATGCTGCTCCGTTGAAAGACTGAGGTGCTCTGACATTTTAGGAGAATAATTCTAACTGTAACAATGGCAACTGCAGCTTCAGTTGAGCCTCCCTAGTCCTAACAGCGTACCTGCCCCCATGGTAGAACTTGTCCCTGGTTCTGGAGCCAGAATCCTGGGTTGGAATCCAGCCTCTATTTCTGACACTCGTCTGTGGAACAAACTTTGGAGAACCTACTTCATTTCTCTAATCCTGGATTTTCCAGCAACTCGATATTAGTTTCCACTTACAAGGTTGTTGTGAGAATCAAGAGAGAAAATGCTCCAAAAGCTAACCCCGGAATCCTGGTATCGACAAGTACTCACTTTGTCACTTTTATTTCTAATATTTGATTATTTACCATAAAGCTGCTACAAACATTTCTGAGAGAGGAATGGAGAGGGAGAGACAGAAACATTGATTGGGGCCTGGGGGTCTCTACTTTGCACTCAATGTTGCTGTAAATCTAAAATTGCTCTAAAAAAATAGTCATACCTATAGTTACACACACACACACACACAATTTTGCAGAAAACAAACACTGGAGATATTTCTTGTGACCTTGTGTTGGGCCAAGAATCCTTAGACATGTAACCAAATCAGTAAAGAATTTAAGAAAAATGATAAATTGGACTCTCAAAGGCCAAGGTAAGTGCTATCATCACCTTCATGTCAAATTCAGTAAACTAAAATTCAGGGAGCGCTGGTGAGTCACCTGGAGAGAACCTCAGAGCCTACGGCCCCTGCCTCTCTGCTGGTGGGTCAGCAGGTTGTCTCGAGCTCCATTTCTTTCTCAAACACACCGCAAAGTAACGGTGCTCCTCAGTACTGGAGGAGTGAGTGACGCCCAGCCTGAAAGGTCTTAGCAGTAAGAGGCTGAAGTTGCCAGAGCCCAGCTGGCTGCAGGCAGATGTCATACTGTGAATGGGCACCTTCGCAGCTGACCGCCTCTAACGGCTCAGGAGGAGGTCACAGACCTTATGGGTATAAGAGGAGAAGACTGAAGCCCACGGAGAAGAGGACATGTCCTTATTTGTCCCAATGATATTCGGGAATTTGGGATTCAAATCCAAAATGCCTGACCCAGGGCATGGGGAGTCTGATCACTGCCCCCCTATTTCCTTCTGCAGTGGCTTTGGGACTCCCAAAATACCCTGCCCACCCTGATGCCACCTGGTCCTCCTGAGAGACCTGTTCCAATGAAAGAAGCCCCATGACAGGAGACCAGGAAAAAAGGGGGGATTCTATAAAGCAATAGCTTATTACATTATCAAGAGACTGGACTTCTGAAAGTGTGATTAAAAAAAAGTGTCCACTGCAGGTGAGTCCGTGTGGCTGTGTTTGTGTGTCGACCCACGCACCAGGAGGTAACGGGTTCGATTCCCAGTCAAGGCACACGTAGGCTGAAACCACAGTAGGGGGCATGCAGGAAGCAGCCAATGGATGTTTCTCTTTCTCATCCATGTTTCTCTCTCCCTCTCCATTCCTTTCTCAGAAATGTTTGTAGCAACTTTATTACAAATAGTCAAAAATTAGAAGTAACCATATTTAATAAATGAATTAATATAGCAAATTAAAAATTAAAACAAAAAAGAAAAAGAAAAAGAGGGAGCAAGGGCATTCCTTCACTTTGCTCATGACTTCAAGAGATTGCTTGTCTCCTTGGCTCCTACCCAACAGTACTGCTGTGATTCCCTCTCTGACAAGTGGCCTCAGCTCCTGGGCTGTGGTAACACCATGTCCTCCCTGTGACCCCTAATGTTGGGTACCAACGTCATTTCCTCAATGTGACTCCAAGTGTTGTACTAATGACTTGCTCCTGCAGACATCTTCACTGTCTGTGCTTGGCATTCCACCTGTTATCCATGTAACAACTTCCCTGCATTAAATTTCCATTTCTATAATAATAATAATAATGTCGAAGATAAAAATCTTTTCACTCCAAAAAAAGCTAACATATCATTAATAAATCTCCAAGCAATTATGCAACATAAATAAAAGCTGAAAAAATGCTGATTCCCATCATATGAAACTTAGAAATTGCAAAGATATCTATTAAAATGGAGTATAAATCTATGGTTACTTGGAAAGCTGTGAAGGGCAGAGAGATTGATAAAGAACATGAAGTAAATTCAGAGACAGATATGGTTGGTATTGTGACTATGGTGCTGGTTTCAGTTGCATGCATGTGAAGACTCATCAAATATTATACCTGACATTGCATTTACTAATTAAATCTTCTTCAAATTGGTGCAAAATTTTTAATTGTATGTCCAACATTTTTTGAAAAAAACTGGTTTGCCAACTTGATATTCAATCTATGTTCTCATGCCCTGTGAAAGAGTCTTGCCTAACCTGACATTGCATTTACTAATTAAACCTTCTTCAAATTGGTGCACGATTTTTTTTTTAATTGTATGTCCAACATTTTTTGAAAAAAACCGGTTTGCCAACTTGATATTTAATCTATGTTCTCATGCCCTGTGAAAGAGTCTTGCCTAAGTAATAGCAAATATAGCCAACCTAAAGGACTTTGAAGGCAGCCAATCAGTGACTCACCAGCGCTCCCTGAATTTTAGTTTACTGAATTTGACATGAAGGCCCAAACCATCACAAATACTGGCTGGAACACAAAACTATATCCCTGGGACTATATATACACGTGTCCTATCTTTCTTTTTCTGCCAGGGTACCAATGGCTCTGACATGAATGTCTGAGAAGCTACAGAAACACACAGAAACGTTTGATTATATTCAATGACAATGACTGCATCCACAGAAGATAAACATGCGTGGAGATCCTCAGATCTGTGTACATGCCCCCCTGAAGTCTTCTCCTCAGAACATTTCTGGATGCACGTTTACAAGAGGCACATTCCATCTAGTTGACAGCACTCTTTTCCAACACAGTGTAGACCAGTGGTTCTGTAGCAATCATGGCTCCCCTCTCCCCTATGGTCCTCCAACCAGTGACTATCACCCACAGAATTGTAGATACTAGGGCAAAAAACCCTTTACAAGATCTGGGCAAGAAATTCCCATCAAAAGTATTGGCAGCCTCTGAAAAAACAAGAAAAAATTAATACTGCTTCCAGGCGTATTTGAAGTTGTCACAGCTATCCCCTCTTTGGAGTGATCTTTGGCTGTCTAGATTCACAGAATCCAGGCTTCACATGAGGACTGGCGAGTCCACAGTCTTTCCTAGGAAAATATGAGCAGCAATGCAAATTGGACAAAAATTGCTGAGCTAATTTCTGCACCATATTGTTCATAGGGAAAGTTAGAAACTCCCATAAAAGTTGTTCACCTCGTATGCTTGTAGAGCCCAAATATGCTTATAAACTAGCTGACAGAATAAACACCAAGATTAAAGAAGACTTAGAAAAAAAGGCCTTCAATATTTTTTTATAAATATTTTTATTGAGTACTGGCCAACTTGGCTCAGTGGATAGAACGTCAGCCTGCAGACTGAAGGGTCTCATGTTCAATTCTGGTCAAGGGCACTTGCCTGAGTTGCGGGCTCAATTCCCAGTAGGGGGGCATGCAGGAGGCAGCCAATCAGCGATTTTCTCTCATCACTGATGTTTCTGTCTCTCCCTTCCTCTCCCAAATCAATAAAAATATATATATATATATATATGCATATATGTGTGTGTGTGTGTGTGTGCGGATATATATATATCGATATATATATATATTGATATATATATATTGATTTCAGAGAGGAAAGGAGATAGAAACATCGATGAGAGAGAATCACTGATTGGCTGCCTTCTGCACAGCACACAATGGGGATGGAGTCAGCAACCCAGGCATGTGCCCTGATGGGAATCGAACCCTGACCTCCTGGATCACAGGTTGACGTTCAATCACTGATCCATACTGGCGGGGCGTGGCCTTCAATATTTTACTAACCAAATGAACATGAGTCTGGCAGTTCTTTCATGGGTGACTTGGACACTCAAAAAGTTCATCACTGTAAAATGGAAAAAGCACGTTATTGGGAAAGGCAGTATTTGCTAGCTGAACTCAGGTGATGTTCTTTGGGGACAACACTGAGTCAGGTTCATATACCAACTAGTCAGAGTGAAAGCAATGCCCCAGATGGTATGGCTCAGCAGTTGAGTGTGTTCCTAGGAACCAAGAAGTCCCCCTTTCGATTCCCAGTAATAGACATGCCGGGTTGCGCGCTCAATCCCCAATGGGGGTGTGCAGGAAGCAGCCAATTGATGATGTTCCTGTCTTATTGTTGTTTCTCTTTCTCTAAACCTCTTCCTTCCTCTCTAAAAATCAATGAAAACATTTAAATAAATTTTTTTAGAAAGCCCAGGCCTGTTTGGCTCCGTGGATAGAGCGTACACCTTCAGACTGAAGGGAGCCAGGTTCAATTATGGTCAAGGGCATGTACCTAGGTTGAAGGTTTGATCCCCCCTCCCTAGTAGAACTGCGTGCAGGAGGCAACCAATTGGTGTGTCTCTCTCACATGAATGGTTCTGTCTCTTCCCCCTCCCTTCCATTCTCACTCTAAAAAAAAAAATCAATGGCAAAATAGCCTCGGGTGAGGATTCAAAAAAAAAAAAAAAGAATGAGACCTCCTAAGCTCAGGCAGCTCCTAATTTTCTCAAATCAAAGAAGTTACCTCCCCAGATACACTAATATGATGACTCATGCAATCTCTGGATACCTGTGAAATAGCTTCAGCAACAGAAATATGCAGTGACACAGATCTGGCAAGACATATCTGGCTAAATTACAAAATGCAACCTGGACTCACGTTTTTTCACATGAGCAAAATTCATAGTGAATCTCCCTACAGTTGATGGTTGAATATATGAGAAAAATAAGGCTGCATAAAGAGTTTCATACAAAATTGTTAAGACTGAACTAAAAATCTGTACATTTCCTACAAATCTAAGACCTCCCTTTCATTGAACTCTTTAGTGCAGAGAAAGATTAGAATTTTGGCTAAATGATTTCACACATTCACTGCACTCATAAGGCCTTTCTCCAGTTGAACTCTGATGATCACAAAAGCCATGGATCCGGATAAAAGATTTCCCATATTAACTGGACTCATAAAGCCTTTCTCCACTGTGAGCTTTCTGATGATAACGGAGGCCATTTCTACTGGCAAAAGATTTTCCACATTCACTGCACTGGTAAGGCTTTTCCCCGCTGTGAATTCTCTGATGACAACGAAGGGTATAGATCCTGGAAAAAGACTTCCCACATTCACTGCACTCATAAGGCCTTTCTCCAGTGTGAAATCTCAGATGATAACGAAGGCCAGTGCTACTGGTAAAAGATTTCCCACATTCACTGCACTTATACGGCTTTTCTCCTGTGTGAAATCTCCGATGATAACGGAGGCCAGTGCCACTGGTAAAAGCTTTACCACATTCACTGCATTCATAAGGCCTTTCTCCAGTGTGAACTCTCTGATGATGATGAAGACCAGTGAACCCAGTAAAAACTTTTCCACATTTACTGCATTCATAAGGCCTTTCTCCTGTGTGAAATCTCTGATGGTAACGAAGGCCATTGCTACTGGTAAAAGATTTACCACATTCATGACACTCATAAGGCCTTTCTCCAGTGTGAACTCTCTGATGATAACGGAGGTAGTAGATCCTGGTAAAAGATTTCCCACATTCATTGCACTCATACGGCCTTTCTCCTGTGTGAAATAAGTGATGATAACGGAGGCCAGTGCTACTCATAAAAGTTTTCCCACATTCACTGCACTTATAAGGCCTTTCTCCATTATGAACTCTCTGATGATAATGAAGGCCAGTGACCCCGATAAAAAACTTCTTACATTTATTGCACTCAAAAGGCCTTTCTCCTGTATGAAATCTCTGATGATAACGGAGGCCATTGCTACTGGTAAAAGATTTTTCACATTCATGGCACTTATAAGGCCTTTCTCCAGTGTGAATTCTCTGATGACAACGAAGGTAATATATCCTGCTAAAAGATTTCCCACATTCACTGCACTTATAAGGCCTTTCTCCTGTGTGAAATATCTGATGATAACGGAGTCCAGTGCTACTGGTAAAAGATTTCCCACATTCACGGCACTTATAAGGCTTTTCTCCAGTGTGAAATCTCTGATGATAATGGAGTCCAGTGCTACTGGTAAAAGATTTCCCACATTCACTGCACTCATAAGGCCTTTCTCTACTGTGAAATCTCTGATGATAACAAAAACTAGAAATTCTGCTAAAATATTTTCCACATTCACGGCACACAAAACCCACTCTTCCAGTATGAACATTCCTATCCTGAACAAACACGCGGTTGCAGCCAATGGCTTTCTTATATTCTTTCCTAATGTAATAATTTTTAGTCCTTTGGAGGGTCACCTCACATGTTGAGATTTCATTTGGCCTGTCCCTGGTCTGAGTAGCCTTTGTGGGGAGATGTCCTGACCCAGTAAGGATGCCTTGCCCAACTTGCACACAGGTTAAATGCTTCTGGGACACGTTGAAACTGCAGCTCTTTGCAAGTGAGATCCTGTCCACACCTCTAATAAAAGGCTTCTCTCTAAAGTGCTCCTCCTGGTGCTGGTGAAATGTTGCACTGAAAAAAAATCGTTTTGCACATGCCCCACACCTCAATAGTACATGGATCTGCTGAGTTTCCTGCAGCTCAATCAAGTGGAAAATGTTCCTCAAGACTAGTCCACAACTCTCACAGGGGTGGCTCTTCAAGGAAGACAAGGCTAACTTGGGATTCCTTGCCTGTGACACTCTTACAGAAATGTTCTGTTCAGTCAGTGCCTCCACATTCTCTGCTCCACAGCAGCAACCTGAACAAAAGGAAACGCTGGTGAGGTATATGTTGACCTTAGAAAAAAAATAGTATCTTCACTATAATTGTTTATCTGTCATGACCATGATTCCATAGAATGATTTTTAAGAAAAGTGAGTAAGACGCTGAGGAAATGGCTGGTATACATTACTTGGCCCCAAAGGTCAGTCAATGGTGAAAATCTCACCAAGGGAGAAACAGAAGCACAGGATGGGATACAAATAAGATAGGAAGGCTCTACTCATCGTTCCTCCACAAACAACTTTCTTTAGGACTTTTCATGCTGGGGACCTGAGTTTGTGTAGAGTAATTTGAATGTGCTCAAACCCATAAAAGTCAATTTTACCAGAGCACATGATGCTCAAGGAGAATACAATAATATGTGTGCACTCTGAAGCTCTGCAGGCATGGACCAACGTTGGTGTGCAGTTAAGAGAGACCTGTGAAAGAGGTAGCAGTGCAGTGTAGAGAGGTTAAGGTTATCCATAGGCTGGGAATCCAAGTAGAAATGATCACTATTAGAACTGAGTAGTTGGCAAAGTGTTAACGATAAGCAAGAACAAGTAGAATGGGGTGAGGAATGGGCAATTGCAACAAAATACTGTTGAACAAAATGGGTCCCTAGTTATGACCTTAATAAGCTCTGCCATCGAACCCTTTCTAATAGCCCTTCATCAAGGAAAAACGTGCCTCTGGGTCCAACCTGACATTCTTAAAG